AATATATGCCAGACACCTCTCCACACACTCCCCAACACCGTCCACAGACTGTCCATACACACCCCACTCAGGTCCATACCTCTTACACACACAACCTTAACAAAGTTGGTGCTCTTTCAGGCTCATTCACCAAGATGGCCAGGGGACTTCAAGACAGATGACCTCTGACTGCCTGAGAGCCCAACTTGGTGGGTGGTAGGGTAAGGCAATGGCCTGCAGAGGACATAGCAGCCTCTGGGTGTTTCTCAGAAGCTGCTTCACACCTGGGTGTCCTTGCCACACCTAAAATGTCTCGGGCCCCTGTCAAATGCACACACCCGGGCACCCCACCCACAAAATGCTTTTCAGGCTCTGGATGGAAAGGAGGGACACTGGGTTTGAAACAGAGCAGGTAAAATTGATCTTCAAATGCCCATAAACCAGACCAGACCTCTTGGGGTGAGATGGCCTTGTCCCCTTTCCCTCCTGAGGGCCTCATCCCTCTTTTGTTCCACTATTCCCACTGGCTTCAAGCTCCCAGGAGGCAGAGGAAGAGAGAGGTATAAAACAATGCTCTGAGATCATGAAATATTCATCTCCTAGTCAGATCCCTTTACCTTGTACTCATTCTGACCTGACCCTTGACCTGCTCTGGATTAGCAGACTCTCCCAGATGGGTCCTAGAGCCCCCAAGGTGTGTCAAAAATGACTGTGGGATCAGACACATCTCTCCTACACAGTGGCCACTGGGCTCCCTCCCCACGCTGCAGTCTGCAACCCAGAGAGACTGGCAGACCCAGGACTGTGGGTTTTGGTTGGTTTGGCTTGTTTTTGTCCCCACATTTTATCCTGACCCACTCCAGAAAGGGCTTGGAGTCAAGGTGGGACCTCAAGCCCTGAATATTTCACCATCTCCCTTCCCTCAGTTTACAGGGAGTTAAGCTTATATCCCTTGGCTATGCTCTTAGCCCTCAGGTGTCCTGTGACCTCTACCTGTAGCCCCTCAAGCCTGGACCCAGAAGCACCTAATGCTCCCTACCTGAGCTGAAACATGAAAGAGCCGAGCTAAAAGCAGCAACCACCCATCCGCTGACCTTCTTGTCTTTCTTGGGGTAGAAATGGGATGTTCCCTCTGTACCTTAGTGGCTGGCTCTGGGTCTGGCCTTGGCCAACCTCAGGGCAAGGTCCTCCTTCTACTGAAGTTTCTGGGGTTGTGTCTTCCTCGGGGGCCTGCAGCCATCGAAGCTCCTCAGGCTTCAGGGCCTGGTACCAAGGTGGAGGCCCACCTTCAGGGCCTAGCACAGGACTGGAAGCCTCCTCTGGATCAGCCCCTTTGGCCCCTGGCCTCACCACAGTCCCTGGGAGCTGCAGGAATCGCTGCATCTGGCATCAGGTCCAGCTCCAGGAGAGCACTGAGCCAGCCAGCAGCGGGGCTGCTTGTCACTGCCCACCGCCACCAGAAGGCCCGCCCCAACTGGGTAACTAGACACTGGCCAGCTGGGAGGCTCCGCTTTCCTTCTCAACTCTCAGAACTAAAGGCTCAAGAGTTACAGATGGCTGGGGACAGGAACTGAGCTCACCCCGGTCTCCGGGCAGGTGAGAGGGTCTGGGAAAAAAAAAATTTTTTCCCACTCCAAATCTCATAGGCACAATTGAACCCTAACTTTTCTCAGAACTGTGTCTCCCTCCTCCCTAGAAATCTCACACATCCCCGCTCACTCCGGCCTGGCTTCTTGATCAGTCCTTCCACAGCCAGTTTGTGTAGTTAGTCTTGACTGTCAGTTTGCAGGGTACGGAATTACAAACAAAAACAAACCTGCAGGCTTGTTGTGAGAGATATTTATGTTGGTCTAATAAAGTTGGGAAGACCCACCCTAGGGGTGGGTGCCAGCATCCCATGACCTGGGTGCCCTGACTAAATAAAAAGGAAAGGCGGGGGCCTGTGGAAACGGCTTAGCCGTTAGGAGTGCTGGCTGTTCTTCCAGAGGACCCACATGGCTGCTCACAGTTATCCATAACTAGTTCCAGGGGATCAGACAAGCTCTTCTGGCCTGCACAGGCACAGGTACAACAGGGTGCACAGACAGCGTGTGAGCAAAACACCCAATCACATAAAGCAAAGACAAGAGAACATGAAGCCTCATCCTCTTGGCTTCATAACTGAGGATGCCCTGTGCACAGCTGCCTCAAACTTTTGCTATCACCTTTCTCCACCATGATGGATATCCTCACAATAAACTCTCCCCTAAGATTGCTTTTGTCAGATAGTTCATCAAACAATAGAAAAGGAAGCCCTTCAGTCCACTTTGCCTCCCCTGGTCTAGGTTGGGACATATTAAACATTTTCCACTTAGCACCGCTCTGCACCTGAGGATTTTTTTTTAACATGATCTCGTGTGTGCAGGTTTATAAAAGAGAATACGTATCAAGCATTTACAGGAAATAAATTAAAAAATTTATTTTAAAACAATTCTTTGGGGCTGAAGAGATGACTCAGCGATTAGGAGTGTCTACGTAAAAGACAAGTTCATATTCCAGCACCAAAGGAAAGGGCAGCCCATGGCCCTGGGCACACATAGAACCCAGCACTGAGGGGCACGGAGGGAGCAGAATCTCTGGGGTGTGGCTGGCTGCCAGCCTAGAAGAGCGTGGCGAGCACCAGGTTCAGCGGGAGTTCCTGCATCAAAGGAACAAGGCAGGGTGACAGCGGGGGATATCCTCCTGTAGCCTGTGGCATGCTGGCCCTCTCACACACGCGAACATATATCACACACACACACACACACACACACACACACACACTTTACACACATTCCCACACTCACACATGCACCTAGAAATAATTAAAACACTGCAGAGCAGTTACTTAGTACACATACAATTTTACCATTCAGGACCAAAGCAAATTTGCATAGAAATGCGAAAGATTGGGTTTGTTCCAGAGATATACTAATCTGATGCATGCAGAGGAATGATGGTAGGGCAGCACTCAAAGTCTCTGTTTCTGTAATGAAACCATTATGTTTCCGCTGGAGCAGACGCTTCTGCGGGCACAGTTGAGAGCGCTGCAGTTCATGGCATGCCAGTCTCCAGGACTGGTTTCCCATGCGCATCAAGGTGTGCCAGGCAGTGTCGGTGTTTGCTGTGATATGTTCAGCATCACAACTATGCAGCGTGGGTCAGAAACACCCGAATTCTAGTACGTGTTTGATTTTGAATTAATTCTCAGTTTTCTTGTGTGTCCAGGAGTCCTTTCCTGTTACCAAACTTTTTGCGAACGGTACGTTCAGTTAGCAGCAGACCCAGATGGGACCCACAGTTTTAAGCAACTTTGGCATAGACCATTCCCCACGCCCTGCCAGTCAACTCTAACGCCTCCTTCCCTTGCCTCTTGCTCAACCCAGGTCACTGTCAAGCTTCACGGTACAGCCTGAGACTCCTCTCACGTACAACTCTTGCTCTCCTTAGTGCTCTGGAATGTAGGGAATGTAAGTGAAGTATGCTTGTTTTGCTTATTTATTTGTAGCCCTGGCTTGTAAATGAAATATACTTTTGTCTGTTTGTGGCCACTTGCTATGTAGACCGGGTTGGTCCCGAACTCAAAGAAGTCTGCTTGCTTCTGCCTCCTGGGCACTGAGATGAAAGGTACGCTCCACTGCACCCAGCAGCGCCATCTTGTCTGCCAATGGGAGTTTTTACTAAATGTCGCACAGGGTCAGCACAGTCCACATCTCCCTTGTCTCAGGGTTACTCCTCCCGGCAGAGGCCTGCCCGCCCTAGGAGCTGGGAATTCCGGACAGATTAAGATCCAAGCCTGTGCTCACAGCGGTGTCCTGTCCCCAAAAGTTATGCTTTGCTTATCGTTGCCCTGCTTTTAAGGGCTTCCTGCTGTTCACATAAGAGACAGGAGTTCAGATCCCAGCACCCATGTAAAAGGCAGCCAATGGTCCTGTCCACACCTATAACCCCGGCACTGGGGGGGCATGGCAAGACCATACAGAGTGAGGAACAGGACCACCCTGTCGTTAGTAATAAAGATCCGGTGGGGCTCCCACTAGGAATTTGCTTATCCCTCGTGTTTTGGATTGTGTGCTCATTTCCCCGAAACCCCAGACCCATTCCTAACGTGAGAAAACGGAACATGGCCTCACACTCTCCTCCTGACCCTTGAATTGTCACCGTTTCATTCTCGAGACCTGTCGGCTCCTGTTCACAGCTGTGTTACACGGTAGGCCTTTAATAAATGTTTGTGCTGCTGAATCTATGAACAAATAAATGAATGAGTCAAAGGTAAGGGTCTGAACCATAACCAAATCAGGTGGAGCTGAATCATAGGCAATGTGGGGCCTTGGGGGGAGTTGGGGGGGCAGGAGTGAGAAGGAGGTGGGAGATGGAGAAATGAATTTATAGGAGGAGCCAGTTTCTCAGTCTACACCCAGGGCCTGTTTCCTAGAGTGGACCAAACTCAAACTACAGTTCACCAATTCAGACCCCTCCCCCACAGTGTTGGGTTTGGGGGTTTTGTTTTGGTTTCTCCTTGAGCCTACCCTTTTCCCCCAAATAAAAGGCTGAAAAAGAGGAAAGACCCCGCCGCTGTTCCTTGAGAACCCCACCTTCCTGGATGGCCCCTCCCCCACCAGCCTCGGGTCCCCCTCCGCTGCCCAAGGCCAAGTGGCTTGGCTTCGGGAACCCAGAGGAGCGCGCAGGGCGGGTCCGCAGCCTCCCGAGCGCTGTCCATGGTGCCTGGGCGTCAGGCGCAACGCGGCCGCCGCTACGCTAGCTCACCGCTTGTAGTCGGAGGAGAAGATACCGCCGCTCGCCGGATCGTGGCCATATTCGGGCTCGCCGGGGCCGGCCGAGCCGCCCTTGTCTTCGCTGTAGGCGGGAGCGGCCGACATAGGTGCGCGCTGCGGGGTGGCTTTGCGGCCGGGCTGGGCTGGGGCCGAGGAAGGGGGCGCACGCCGGCTCGCCGGCTCTGCAGAGCTGCAATCTGCGCGGCGGAGGCTGCGCGGATTCAGCAATCAGGGCCCCGCGCTGAGGTTCTTAAAGGCACCGGCACCGCCCGCGGAGTGCAGGGACTGGGGTAAGCGGACAGGGGAAGGAGAGGGAGCGCCTGCCCCGCCCAAATCATTCAGAACTCCTGGGACCCATGCCTCCACACTTAAAGCAACTGCAAGCATCTAGGGGTCCGACAGTGAACGAGCCGCTGAGCCTCTGGAGGGGTGCGGACCTCCAGCCACTCCCTTCCTCCATCACCTGACCTTCAGGGGCCCGCCCACCCGGCAGCGAGGGAAAAGGGTGGGACGCGGAAAGAAGGCCATGCTCGCAGGCGTGGGTTGGACCACCGGCCTTAGAGATTTAGGGATAGTGCCTTTCAGGCCTCCTTTTTCACACAGTCTAAATCCCTCTGAGGGCAGCCATCCTTCTAGAAGGGAAGCATTATCAGCTTCCTGAAGAAGTGGAATTTAAGGGCAGACTGACCCAAGAAGCAAGTACTAAGGGCATTCTGGGAGCAGAGCAGCTCTAGGTGGAGCAGAGACAACCTCTGACATCATAATTTCATTTGGGAAAATACTTTAATGAGCCTTTCTGAAGCCTCTTCTGGCCCACTCGGGAGGGCCCAAGGTCACCTTAATCCTCAGTTAGGTTGATGTCCATTGGCATCTAGGACGGAAGGGAGAAGGAGCAGGGTGAGTTAGGGTCTCATGAAATCTCCAGGCCTCCAGGACTCTGTGGCTCCTCAAGACCCAAAGGAGGGAAACACAGTCGGAGAGAAGGAAGGGAGGGAGGTCGTAGGTCTGGATTAAAGAAAGAGCCCTGAACTAGGCTGATGTGTGAGTTGTAGACCTCGGGCTAGAGTTTGGGACATGAAATTGAGTGGCTTGGAGAATGGAAGAGTCCCCAAGGGCTGAGTCTTGATTTGTTGACCAGGATTCCCCAAGTCTCCAAGATCAGAATTGGTGGGCTGTTTGAGAAAGGTGGACTCTGGGTCAGTAGAAAGTTCTACTGCAAGAAGAATGATGGAGTTGGACCAGCACCTGGGTTGGAGATTGGCTGTGTTCAGTAAATATGTCTGGCCAGGATCTAAGAACTGGGGCCTGAGGCCTACCTCCTGAGGGCTCAAAGGGTTTTCAGGGTGTGTAACTTCAACAAACAGGCATGCCTATCTATTTCTGGGGAGTTTTGGACTGCCAGAGGAGAGACCTTAAGTTTAGAGGAACCTGGTCTGGGTGCAGTGGGCAGGGGAACATCTGAATTTTTCTGGAGCAGGCTGGTTAGGTGCCTTTGTTAGCAGACTCAGGGGCCGTGATGGGATACGTGTTGGTAAAAGAGGGGTGCTTACTGTGTCCATGCCCAGCAGGTTCAGTGCAAAGTGCACGCAGTTGCTGCTCGTAGGGTGGTAGGGAGGAGGATCACCATTCATAGCTTCCTGCACGCGGTGCTCCAGCACTCGAAGGTCGACGCCACCGCGTCTGCGCAGCACACGCCAGAGCCTCCGGGAGCGCTGCAGAGCGCGGTGCCCCTGTTTGCACACCACACCTTCGCAGAAACCCAGAAGCGTTTGTAGTCCTTGGTCTCCAGAGGTCCTGCCTGTGGGGATGGCAGGCCCGCAGGCCGGGTGCAATCAGAGCTAGCTCAGGTGCTACTCCCTAGTCCACCTCAGCTTTGCCTCAAACTGAGGCCCCAGCGCCTGGCTGCCAGGCCTCTCTTCTCAGTCTTCAGAGGCCTGCACCTTCATCCCGGGTTTCACCCCAGCACAGTCAGGTGGTAGGCGGCCACATCTCTGTTTACTCACCCTCGAAGTGAATGATCTCTCCATGGCCGCAGTAAACACCCACGTGGGCCCCACACCACTGTGCCCTAGGGGACTGCAACTTGAACAGGAACAGGTCCCCAGGCTGAGGCTCCCCTTTTTCTAACTCCACCTCCTGGAAGTGCTGACCCATGACCGCCTCAGAGAAGAAGAACTTAAGGGTTCTGGACGCCCCTAACAGGTTCTAAGAGAAGAAACGTTGGCAACTGCACAGGCATAGCTGGGTCATTCCGCTCATCACAAATGGTAGACCCTGCTTTGAGTTCGGCCCTAGGCAGAAGTTCTTCACTGCTTTCCTCCCTGTCCTTAAGGGACTCCAGAGGCCTGGAAATCCCGGGCGTACACTGCCCTGAGCCACTAAAGACTCCGTAAATGTCCAGCAATTGGACTTCCTCTCCACCCACAGTATCCACTTATCCCCAAATCCTGCCACTCCTTTCACCCCCTCTCCCCCTGTTCCGGATCTCCTTCCTCGTCAGTCTTCCATGTTGCCATTCCTACAAGCAACCCTGGGCTCTGGGTGTACCTGGGTTGAGAAGTGGACCTGAAGAAACAGAAAAACTGCAGTGAGATCTGGGCCAGGGAGGATCTCTCCCAAGGCCAAGAACCTCAGCAGCAAAAGCGCATCTTTCGCTCCTTGCTACAGTCCTCAAGATCAGTAGAGTATCCTTATTTTCAGGAGGAGATTGAGGTACATCAAATCTCGATAATCTACGACCACATGACCCTCCTGTGTTCCATGTGCTAAATACCGCTGCATTTTTTTTTCTATAAGGAACTGAGAAATCCAGTTTATTTTCTTGTCCTTACTGGGAACAAAGGATGACTTCAGTGCCTGGGTTATATCTAAGCTTAGGTTTTGGGAGAGAGAGAAGGAGAGGAAGGGGAAGGTAGGACCCAGTGAGGCACTGCCGGAGGACATGAGAGCACCAAGTGAGCACCACCCCAGGGCTCTGGGTAGCTTTGGTGTCCTTTGGTCAGGGGGTCAGCCCCCTAACACCCACCAAAAAGGCAGGGAGTACCTTACTTCCAGCTTCCCTCTCATCCCATAACCCACTGGGTCACACAGAAGTCACAGCTATGGAAGAGGGTGGACTGTCTTAGCCCCTGTGGAGACAACTGCCACCGCCTGAAGAAGAGCCAAGAAGAGTCGAGGACTTCTGCTCCATTTACCTGAGATGTGAAACTCATCTAGGGAGAGAAAAAGCAACCATTACTATCTGCCACTTCACTTGTGTCCTCCTGCTCTGGCTGCTCAGTATCTGTGTGCTGTATATAAGTCTGCCCTCGCTGGCTGATCACAGGTTGAGTCAGTCTCTCTCTCTCTGCCCTCCAACTTCCTCATCTGTGAACTGGGAACCCCAAGGCTGGAGGGCTGGGCATCACCTGACTGTTGGGAAGCTCTGAGAGCTCTTTGTGATCAGTATAAGGCCAGAGGGCAGGGTTCTGTTTAGCTAAGGTCTGGTTGGCTCCTGAACTTGCACGTTTGCCTGAGCATGCACATTTGGGCACCAAGGGGAGAATACATCTTTCTCAGCTCAGAGGAGAAGAACAATGGGTCCCAAAGGCTGATGCCCTCCCTGTGACCCCTGCCTCACAGAGCAAAAGGAATCACCCAACTGGAAAGGCCAGACACTCCCTCAAATTTCCCACTGGGGGTGGGGCGTGGGCCGGGAAGCACTCTGGCTGCTGTCAGCTGGGTCCTTGCCCCTTCAAACAGGAATCCAGGTCCATTGCTGGTGTTCCACCCATAATGATAACAACACTCACTGCCAAAGGCTGTGTGAAGACCCCAGTTAGCCCTAACAATGTCACGGAGGTTCTACTGTAATTCTCATTTGGAAGAAGAGGAAAATGGTGCTTGGGGAGGTTGTTAAGGTTACATATAAAATACTGTAGACCAGTATTCAAATCTCTGATTGCTAGAACCTTTCGCATGGCATGTGGAACCCCCGCCTTCAGGCCCCCCACCAGGAAGTATTGACCCCTGCTTTCTTCTGGTGAGAGAAGCAGCTGCCCTCCTATTTAGCATTCATGTAGTAAAAGGGGAAAGAGCAACAGCCTGGAACCATCAGAGCCTGAGAGATAAGTATCCCATTTCCACACTCAGGCCTGACAGCACTGCCCACCCTGTTGGGGATTCAGGCGTGGAGGCCTGAGTCCTTCCTTCTGCCCTAGCTGTCAGAAATACAGCAGTGGCAGGAGTGTTCCTGTGACTGGCTTTGGTGTCACTGCTCCCAGCCAGGCACCTACACCTAAAACAAGGTCAGAGTGGAGGCCCAACTTTTCTGACAGTCCTTCCCCTTCCAGAGGTTTTAGTCATGGCGATCCCACCCTAATCTGAATCCACAGAGCAAGAAGCTTACCTTGCAGTGACCACTTCACTCCTTGTGAGACGTTCCCCTTCTGAGGAAAAGAGGACAAGTTGACCATGGATCTGGCAGATAAAGGGACTAACCAGGAAGTCCTGGGGCCAGCTTCGGAGCATCAGTGCCAGAGCCAATCTGACTGAGGCAGCAGTATTTCAGCTATGACCCTAGGGACAGGCAAGAAGCCAGAGCCTGAGGGCTGGGCCCCAGGTAGGTAGGTAAATGGTGCCTCCTTCCCCTCCTCCCATCTTGCAAGATCGGATATCTGATGGCGGTCACTTGCCTGCTTCTCTCAACAGCATTTCCTAACTCTTCAATGGGGCACTCAGTGCTTTATCTCCACCTTCCCTTGGTCAGAGAACAAGAGCTGGCTTTCAATCCCTATGACTTTATCGAGGTTTGCCTTATGGTCTGCTCTAGTGAACATGCTTTGGCTCCTTTGCAGTCGGATTTTTTGCAGGTTTGAGTGTAGTGTTCCGTAAGCATAAGGTCAAGGCAGCTGGCAATATTGGCCACATCACCTCGGACTATACTTTATTCTTTTTTTTTTTTCTACAGTTTTCTGTCAGCTAAGAGGGATGGCAAGGCTTCCTGCTATGTAGAGCTGCAGAATGGTCTCCCTTTCATTTCGTTAGATTTTGTTCTGTGAAGTTTGAGACTCTTACTGCATGTAGAAAATCTTATGATTGTTACATCTTTGGGTGAATTGATATTTATCATTACGAATGTCCCCCGATAGCTCTGCTAATGGTTGAGTTGAAGACTTTGTCTAATGTTATGTTTGCCAATTGCACCTGCCTTTTTTTTTTTTTAACTACTCCTTTACTTTCCTTTTCCCTGTTGACTTGCAGTCTGCTTGTGTCTTCACATTTGTTTTTGGTTGTGAGATGGGGTTTCACTTGTTGCTCAGGCTGCTCTCAACTCTGGGCTCAAGCAATCTTCTTGCCTGAGCCTCCTGAGTATCCGAGACCACAGTGTGCCTATCTTTATGTCATTGTATTTAAAATGCGTTCATAATAGAATACAATTGGGTCTTCCTTTTCACTCTATAGTTATTTAATGCAGTAATGCAGTAATTGATATTGTTAGACTTTGGTCTACCAAGTTATTTGCCCCCCCCCCCGCGTGTGTGTGTGTGTGTGTGTGTGTGTGTGTGTGTGTTTTCTTTTGTTCTACCTTCCTTGTCTCCTTTTGGTGTACTTGAATATTTTTTGGTAATTCATTTTAAGATGGGCATGGTAACACACACCTGTAATCCCAACACCCAGGAGGCTGAAGTAGGAGGATCTGAAAGTTTGAGATCAGCCTAGGCTACATGGTAAGTTCCAGACCAGCCAGGGTTATATAGCGAGACCCTGACTCAGACACATCCCATTTTAATTCTCTGCTGGCATTTAGCTTCAGTTCTTTGTCTTACATATTAATAAGTCTCTTTAGAGATTATAATGTAACTCGTTTTTAGGCTGTCCAGTTAGCGGAATTGGTTAGAGCATGGTGCTAAAAATAATCATTTTACACAAGCCATTTAATTCTAGAGCTTGTAGCTGCACACCCAGTGTAGAAGCCATCATTGCTGTGTCTGGTACCGCCATTCCTGCCCGCTTTCCATGTAATAGCTGTCATTACACTATCCACCCCACAGAGCAAGCTTATACATTTCACTTTAAGCCTCTGTGTATTTTAAGAGATAAGAAAGATGTCCTTTATAGTCACATGCTTGAAGGTTTAAGTGTTTCTCTGATACCGCTTCCCCTTAGACAGATGAAATGTCTTTGGTATTTCTTGTGGAGCAGCCCACTGATGTGAACCCTTTAGGTTTGATTTGAAAACATCTTTGTCTTTATTCATTCTGTTGGATACAAAATTGTGGGGGTTTTTGTTTTGTTTTATTTTGGTTTGGGTTTGGTTTGGTTTGGTTTTCTTGAGACGGGGTTTCTCTGTGTAGCTTTGGCTGTCCTGGACTCACTTTGTGGACCAGGCTGACCTCGAACTCACAGCAATCCGCCTACCTCTGCTTCCCAGAGAGCTGGGATTACAAACTTTCATAACCACCGCCTCGCCCAGCATTGTGTTTTGATGCTCTTTTTTGTAGTACTGCAGAGGTTTGTTTGTTTTTTTTTCCCTCCAGGGCATCCGCACTTCATCCCTCCAGATGAGAAGTCAATGACAGGTGCCCTGTGAGCATCACAGCATCACAGCACCCGTTCTGTTTGGCTGTTTTCTGGTTTCTCCTTACCTTTGCCTTCAGCGGTTTGATTGTGGTGTATAGAGGGATGTTATCTCCACATTCACCTTGTCACCGCTCCAGCGATTTTAATGTGAATTTTGTCTTTCACCTTCTGCTCTCATTCCTTCATATTTTCTGTTCTACTTTCCTCTCTTCTGAAATTCCAATTAATATTATCACCCTGACACTTTTTTGATGTATCATTTTATTTGGAGCCAGCTATATACCAGTTTTTGAAATTTCATTTACCTTTTGTTACAACAACCCCACTTGCTACTAAAAGCACTCTTAGAGCTTTAAATTTAATTAAATTTAAATTTAATTCTGGAATTTCTTGTTGTTATTGGAGTTTGTTTATATGTTTTGATTTTTGAGACAAGTTCTCACTATCTACCCCTGGCCAGCATGGAACTCAATATATAGATCAGACTGGCCCTAAACTATTATCAATCCTCTTTCTAAAAGTACAGAGCAAGAAATATTAAAATTTGAGGACTATACCATGTCATATTTAAAGGCACACTCATTAGACTTACAGATTTCCCAGCAGAAATTCTGAAGGTCAAAATAGAATTTAATGAAGTACTTCAAGTTCTAAAAGAAAATTTTCAATCAGGGTTATTTTATGTGACTCAGTTTTCCCTATGGGAAGGAGAAGTGAAGACCTTTAAAGAGAAGCATAAACTCAGGAAGTCATGCCATTCACTCAGCATTAATGAATATGCTAAGGGAATCCTACACCCAGAAGAGGAAGAAAGAGCAACACAATTATAAGGACATGCTGTATTTCCATGTCTTTCCTAAGATTATAGACTTTCCTGCTATTATTTTTTCCAAATTTAAAGCAAGAATTTATTAAATATTAATTACTGGCCAAGAAATGGACTTTGGTCTGAACCATTCCCCAAAATTTCCCAGCTGGAACAGCCTTCTGCTATTATCTTATTAAATTGATTTTCTATGTCTTTGGTCTGTAGCTCTTTTCATTCTGTTATACTAAAGGGCTAATATTTTCTATTTGTATTAGTTAGTTTTCCATTACTGTAGCAAAATACTTGAAGATAAGATACTCAAGGGAGGAAGATTTACTTGGGGTTGTATTCCACAGGCCTTGGTCCATGGTCCACCAGCTACTACATTGTCATTTGGACGTCAATGGTGAAGCAGCACATCACGGTGGAAGGCCACGGCAAAGCAGAGCTGCTCACCTATTGTGAGGAGAAAGCTGAATCAAAGAAAGGGAGAGACACAGAGAGAGGCCAGGGATAGGTGGTTACCTTCACAATTGTGTCCCCCCACCACACCCCCCAGTGACCACCCGCCAACCATGCCTCCCCTCAGAAGTCATCTATAAACTCTTTGCTGGATTCATCTGCTGATGAGGTTGGCATACTTGGACCAGTCCTCTCTCAGCAGCCAACTGGTGGCCAGCCAGGGGCCAGGCTTTCAGCACAGGAGACCTCTGAGTGGGCACTTCCTACTCAGGCCCGGAGCTCTCTGAGGTCCTCTTCATTCTTTCTTGGGTTGGTTTGTTTGTGTGTAAACATATTACTTTGGAAGAAATAGTTTGAAGCTCCAGTGTTAGTCTGTTGTTGAGGTTCTCAGCTGATTTTTAAAAATCTGATTTACTACGCTTTGCATTGCAAAGCTTCCGATTGTTTTGTTTGTTTGTTTGGTTGGTTGGTTTTTGTTTTTTGCTTTTCAAAATCCCTCTTAGTCAGCATGGTGGTGACACTCACCTTCAATCCCAGCACTCAGTGAAAAGAAAGAAAGAAAGAAAGAAAGAAAGAAAGAAAGAAAGAAAGAAA